TCGTTTAATTGGTCCAGATGCTTTAATTATGTCTCGTCCTGTTGATGACAATCTAGAATGGTCACCACGTGAAATAGTATTTATGGGTTGGGTTGGTGATGAAGATGGAACCTATGACGGATTGAAGACAGCACTTCGATATATGCTTGAAAGTGGTAGTCGTGGTTATGTCGGATTTGGATCAGATATTGGTGGATATGGAACTGATTCGAGTGCAGGTCCACTTGGTCGCACGAAAGAACTATTTCTTCGATGGACAGCTATTGGTGCATTGAGTTCATTTATGGAAAATGGAGGTGGTGGTGAACATTTACCATGGAAATTTGATAATGAAACGGTTGACATTTATCGATCATGGGTTAATTTACATTATTCATTAATTCCTTATCTGTATACTGAAGGTACTAAGGTTGCTCTGTATCAAAATGGTACACTCATGCTACCATGTAATGATATCGAATGTTTCTTAACACATGCCTATTTTCTTGGTCCATCTGTCTATGTTGTACCTGTTCTACGTGATCCAACTCCCAAGCAAACACAACTTATTTGGCTTCCATCATCACCTACAGGCAAATGGATTTCGGGTTTTAATGCCTCTATTACACACAAAGCTCGTTCGTTTATTTTTGAAGATACAAGTCGTCTCGATCGAATTCCATTCTATGTTCGACAAGGAACACTAATGCCTATGTATGATCTTGAACAAAGTCAAGCACTCGATGCTTATAAATTTGTTCTATGGGGCAAAATAACAAGACGAAATCAACCGTTAATATCATCTCTATATACACGTGATGGTCAAGAATGGATTCTTGAATTTGATTTCATTCGAAAACATTTGATAACTCGTTTCGTTCATTGGTACAAATCAAACGATGATCAACAACTAACAACATACACATGGCAATTTTGTCAGTATATCAATGAACAACCACTGTGTACTTCCGAAAGACAACAACTACGAGATAATTCTTGGATTGAATTGAAAAGTTTAGTATATGAGAAAAATTTAAATTAGTTTCCCAGTGCAACCTAAATTTCATGAGTTAGAGTTAGAGAGATTAAAGAATAATTTTTTGGTCTTGTGAATTTTTTGTTTTTTTTTTTGAAAGCCATATATATTAAATATCTCAAATTTCCTTGTCTTATTCTAGAACATGGACAGTTTAATCTTTGATAGAAATCAAGTCTTTATTGAAAAGATTAAACAATAAGAAATAGAACACAAGAAAAAAAAACAGACAAATGAAAATTAGACATCATGATTCGAACGTTTTCTTTTACGAAGTCAATCAATTGAATTCCTCATTTCTTCACAAGGATAAAACTTGTTGTTTGGACCGCATGAGTCATTCATAACAAGTAGAGAATATTTCATTTACGCACATACTTTCTTCTGCTTTTTTTCACAAAAGCCTTTATATTTACACAGGTTGTTCTTGAAGAGCTGCTTTCGTTTGCACAGAAAAAAAACGAAGAATTATTTACCTTGTTCTTCATCGATGCTTGGTTTTTTTCTAATTTGTAAAAAAAAAAAGGAACAGAACGGAAGTAATATTTACATGAAGTAATGCTGAATCAATACATGTTGATTACCATGCTGTAGCATTCTTGATGTGTTTACCAATGTCGATCAAACTTTCTTTTGAACAATCGGCAATCGAAAAAACTCGAATAACAAAAGCAGTCGAATGAATTATGACCAGACGAGATTATATTTTTCAATATCAAGTTGATGTACCGAACATTATTCGAAGAAGAAATTTTCCATCAGTGCAAAGATTCGAAAAATGTAGATATTTCTGAATCATACAGAACAAATACTTTTTTCAAAGAGATAGTATTGTTGTATTACAAAAACTAGGAGCTAGAACTGTATTACACAATATCGGCGAAGAACTTTGAAAATCATTTTTCACACTTTGACATAATTCTGTATCATCGCATTGTACATAATCTGTACTTATGATATGAATACCATATTTTCGAGATTGTTTATATCTCTCAAAGATTTGTTGATCACCATAACCAAGTAAAACACGACTTATTTGACCATTCATATGGCTTGCAACAATTAATTGTTCATGTATCAATGGATTTCGAATATTGATAATCGATGCATAGGGAAGATTGATATTTGTTTGAGCAATAAAGAAAAAATTTGAGAGTGATTCACATGTAGAAATTAAATCAACGACGATACTATGTTCATCATCAATGAAACTCACTAAAATTTTCCCTAAAGATTGAGATAGTGGAGGCCAACCATAATTTCCATATGAATAATTGCCATTTAATTCATCTTGTCTCTGTTTCTTCAAAGCTAAATTAATTGATGTCTGATGACCACGAATTAATTCTGGTAGTATGAATGAATCAATAGAAAATACTCGCAAAATTTGTTCTTTCATAGATTCAAAATGTTGACATCGAACGCCACCAAAAAGCGCTGTTAAAAAATCTTCACGAAATCTTTGTTTGATTTCAATGAAGAGAAATATTGGATAGTGTTTTGGATTCTGTTGACTCCATCTATGAATTCTTACTAAACAATCACTAAAACAATAACAATTTGTCTTATCATCGATGAATTGCATATGATAAACAACATAATCATTTTTCATTAAATGAATATCTAATTCAATCTGTCTAATACCAGCTACTAATTGAATCTCAAGATTTGAATGGTGATATTTGTAAAAAAACGTTTCTTGATGATAACTATTGTGTGTTCCGAGAATGGTCAGATGATTTAGTTTTAAACGCGAATCGATCATCCATTCATTAGTTGGTAGAATTTTTTTCCTGTTAGATGAAATTTTGCTGCTAACATAATAACATTGATCATTTTGATAAAGAATCTTTATCATTAAAATCCATGATAAAATAAAGAACAACATCCAAACACTGAACTTGAGGAAAATGTCGACATTAAGAAACACCATGTCTTTTCAATTTGGAATATTTTGACCAATTAAAAATAAAATATCAATGATAAAAATCTAAATAAACGACAAGAATGTCATTGATTTACTTGCTCAACGTTTATTACTTCGAAGCATTCGCAACAGACTCCAAAAACATTCGAAAATCCGACGTTTTTGGAGAAAATGTGCTTGCATAATTATTTTTGCGTCGTTTCACCGATGATGTCAACCATGAAAAAGCGTGATACACACATGGAAAGAAAAATGCTCGTAGTCTTTTGCGTTTCTTCGTTATTGACAAGAGAACAAACAGGACGCTAAAAAAAAAGAAAAGGTTGTACGAGAAGCTATTTTGCTGATAGAATCACTGCGTCACATATATATTTTATCTGAAGAAAGACGTCATGAATGTAAGATCACAAAAAATATATCATTCATATTCTCCCTCAATATCGTGCTCAAATTGTATCATTCTATCTCGCAGAAAACCAGTGTTTTGGTTCGCCTGATTGGTTGTTGGGTAAGTTTGATCAACATCCTTCTTTGTCTTTAGTTCCACTTGGTGCCACGCTTCCAAGTCTTGTCAATCATCCTGGAAATATGAGATTGATCGAATATGAATTTCAATATCTCGTGTGAAGCTCAGAAAAACAAAGAGTGTGGGTGTGGGTATAGGTGTGTGTGGGTGATTGCGAAAAGAAGATTATCACCCATACTCACACCCACACCTACACTCTGAGTTTGCCGTTTTGGATGAATTCTTTTCCAAAATAAGACAGATGAATAAGGGTGGGGTGTGGGTGTGGGCGTGGGTGTGGGTGTGGGTGTGGGGTATGGGTGTGGGTATGGGTGGGTGTGGGTGTGGGTGTGGGTGGGTGTGGGTGTGGGTGTGGGTGTGGGTGTGGGTGTGGGTGTGGGTGTGGGTGGGTGTGAGTGTGGGGTGTGGGCAGGAGCCGCGCGAGCGGGGGTTGTACACCCCCCCCCCAATAATTGAAAATTTTTGTTTTTTTTTTAGCGATGGCAGCAGATTTGAAACAAATTTTGTGTTTTTTTTAAGAAATTTTGCTCTAAATACCCTTTTACACCCCCCAAAAATTTTTACATCCTTTCAAAACCTGCTACACCCCCCCCCCCCAATCTTAGACCTTTCGCGCGGCCCCTGGGTGTGGGTGTGGGTGTGGGTGTGGGTGTGGGTGTGGGTGTGTGTATGGGTTTAGATAAAGAGAACACCCACACCCACACCCTTATCCAATAGAATACATCAATATTCATCATATTTCATTTCGTTCACCACAATCTGATATATATCATAATTAGTATTACGAAATGCTAATAAGACCGAAGCAAAATCTGTTTGTAATATAAATTCAGCTAGACCATGAATCAAATTTTTCATTCGATCGAATTCAAGTATACCCATACTACTGAGAGCGACATAGATAATTGATTTACTAGGCTTTGATTTGATTCTTCTTGTAAGATCATTAGCGATATCATCAATAGACAATTCATCTATATATGGGCTCAGATATTTTGTATAGTGATGCGAATACGATGGTAGACAGAACATCGGTGACACACTGATCAAGTGTAAGCATTTGAATTTTGTAGATAACCAATTTCTTAATGTAAAACTTTCATAAAATGGTCCTGGTATTCGTGAAAATCATTGAGCAATAGTAGGGTGTGGATGTGGTTGTGGAAGCTACGACAAGAGTATCCACAAGCTGACATCCACATCCACTCACACCCACACCGACATACCCACCCACACCCATGGCCACACACTCCGACACGAGTAAGATGTGATGTTTTTTTTGGTATTGATATTGTTAAAGATAGAAATCAGGTGATAATAAGAAAACAATAAGACATTTACGCAGTACATACAGTAAAACCTCTCTAATGTGACTACTATTGGGACTTTTCAAAAGTGTTCACTACAGGGAGGTGTTCACTTTCGGGAGGTGACGTATATTTTACTGAGAAATGAAGAAAAAATCCCGAATGTGTCCTGCTACATTAGTCTAGAGTTAAACAAGAGCTATTTATTCGTTTACTCATTTATTTTTATTTAAATGTTTTGTAGTTGAAAAATTTATAGATACAAGACAAAGTTTTGTTTTGTTTAAAAAAGTCTTCTAGTGTCGCTTGTCTTTTTGTTTTTGAATTAATATAAACATCAGTCAACTTTGATTCTAATTCATTAATTAATTGGTGTAATTGTGGTTGTTGTGTTGTTGCTAGTAAATGAAGTTTTCGTTTCATTTCCATTGTTTCTGTTAATTTTGGTGGTGATTCTGTTAATATTTGATCATCATCATAGTAATCATTATCCTGTTCCTTAATGTCACATAATACAAGTTGTTCACACTGATCAAACCATTCGTTGTATTCTGGTGTATCATTATCTATATCAACAAAATCAGCTGCGTTCATTGTTTGACCACCAATTGTAACATGTTGTAATAGATCATCTAATTTTTTTAAATCTTTATATGGCTCATCATCCGTTGATTTTGTGCTATCTGTTGATGATGTTGCTGTATCATTAGATGTTGCTGTTGTTATATCATCATGTTGTTTATCTTTAAAACCAGCTACACGACATGTATTTCGTATTGTTGTATGTGTAACAGCTTTCCATGCTGCATCAATCCAGTAAATAGCATCTAAATGTGTAATTTTAATATCATCTAGTGTTTGAGCTGTTATACAACGTGCTATTATATGTTTAACTAAATGTTTACGATAATGTGTTTTAAATGCATGTATAATGCCTTGATCTAATGGTTGAAGTTTTGATGTGGTATTTGGTGGAAAATATTGTAATTTTATATTTGATAATTCGATATCAACAGGATGACATGGTGCATTATCAAGAAATAATATTATTTTTCTTTTTTGCTTTTTCATTGATATGTTTAAATTCGATAACCATTCGCTAAACAACCTAACATTCATCCATGCAGTTTTATTTGCTCGCTAATTTACTGGAAGTTCACTAACATTTAAATTTTTAAAACATCGTGGTTTTAAACTTTTAGCTAAAACGCAGAACAAAAACAAAGTTTATTAAGTATTTAAAGTATTCCAAAATAGTTAAGGATATTTAAAGAGCATACATACCAATTACAAGTGGTTTTAATTTTCCTTCACCAGTTGAATTAACACAAAATAAAATAGTATAGCGTTCTTTCGATTTTTTACCACCTTTACATTGTTCTCTATTTAATGTTAATGGTTTATCAGGCATAAATTTAAAAAATAACCCTGTTTCATCACAATTAAATATATCTTTTGGATCATAACCATCAATCATTTTTGGTATTCGTTGAACCCAATCATCAACAGTTGTAATATCAACAGATAAACTTTCACCGCTAATAACACGAAATGAAATGTTGTGTCTTATTCTAAATTTTTCAAACCACCCACTCGATGCTTTAAATGAACCCATCTTATCAGCTAATAATTCAGCTATTTCGCGTGCTTTTTCTTGTAAAATTAGTCCTGATATTGAAATGTTTTTTGAACGTTGTTGTACAAACCATCCATATACTTTTTCATCGAGTTCTCGTGAATTAACATCAATTATTTTTCGTTTAACATTGTGATTCTGATTTGCTGCATAATCATCCAAATATTCTGCCTTACGTTTTAATACATTTGATAAAGAACCAAGCGAAATATTATATTTTACAGCTAATGTACGTTGAGATAAACCATTAGCATTCCTGTTATCATTAATTAATTCAATTTTCTGTTGCAAAGTAAGATCATGTCGTATTGTCATTTTTTTAATGAATATTTGACTGCGTTGTATTAGAAAGCAGAAATTATATATAGGAGAGAGATAATTAGGCGAACTAGGAAAAAAGTAGAGAGTGTTCTTCGTCTGTTTAGAAAATGAACAATAAGACGAATTGAGACAATGACCATCTTATTCAGAACAGACGTTAGTTAGGAAAGGTAGATCAGACGTACAATACATGTATGTAACAGCTGAACAGAAAAAGAAAAGAAGTGGAGCATTACGTAACAGAGAGGGAAAAATAAACATGAACATATGTTCACATTAGAGAGGTTATAGTAGTTAGAGGGAGTGGAAAAGAAGTGTTCATGTTCAGAATAAAGAGGTGTTTACAATTGAGAGGTGCATTTCCAGTAAAAATCGTCCCGTCGGACCTGAGATTGTCCAGAATAAGGGGGTGTTCACTATCGAGAGGTGTTCACTTATAGAGGTTTTACTGTATACAACTAGTAATCACAAATAAAACACAGCAAATTTGAAAAGTACAAAGAAAAAAGTGTCAAGGATAGAGTTAGAGAATATATTATGAAAATAAAAGTTCAAAGAGTTCTTTCATCTTCTCATCAGCCACTTCAAGCTTGCTCAGATCGATGCGATCTTCATCCAAAAGATAGTGTGAAAAAAACTTAAGTTCGATCCAGTCACTCGAAAGAACTTTCATATATTTGTATTTTTGAATATAATACAATGAAACTTCAGCTAGTTTTTCACAAACATTAAGTAAAAAGTCTTGTGAAGATGCGTTCCATGCATCAGGAAAGCAGAGAAGACAGCCAACAACATCGCGAAGTTCCGAAAGCGCACTTTCAGGATGGTTATCAACTCCCCCTATTTCAATTTTGGAGAGATCCAAGCTACAGCAACGATAGCTATTAGACCCTCCTCCATCCACACCTGTGGAGACTGGTTTCTGAAGACATTTGTTCACTCGCTCTTCGAATAAAGTCAGGATGTCATGAAATGTAATTGCTTTCAATTCTGATTCCGTTTTCAACACTCGTGTACGTCTCACGCTATTTGGATACGGTAGTTTCAGATCTCTCCAAAAGTTTTTTGCTACAAGGGTGCATAGACGTTTGATTAATTCCAATGCGTCATTTTTTTCCAGCGAAAAAAAAGTTTTACTGGCAACTGTCAGTTCAGAGAAAGGTTCTGATGAAATTTGTTGGAGATCTTTAAAGAGCCGGTGTGTAATGCAGCAAAACGGAAGATTACTGTCGTCATCATTAATGATTTCTTCTAATTTCACATCACTTAAACTTTCTCCATCACGAAGGTAGAGAACGCGCAAGTTAGAAGACAAACTATTTTTTAAATGCAAAACTGTGATCAATTTCCAAAGCATTGTACATGCTGCTTCCCTCTTCAAAAGACTTGAGCTGGCCAGCGGTTTAATCTTGTTTTCATACCATTTTCCGATCTCCTCTATGCTCACATAGGGTGTCACTGACTGAAGCGGTACACCACGGAAACTGTCATCCATATAAGAATTATCGGCAGAATAGGAAGAGGTAGTAATTGTCGTTACTGTTGTTTGTACTGCTTGTGCATGAGAAAAATGTTGACTATGCATGTGATGAAGCAAAAAGCTCAGCTTCAATTCGGAAATTTCATCATATAAAGTGTCAGGACATGTCTCACTGGTGTTGCTAACGGTTTCAAATGGTAGCGATTGTCCATTTAAATGCTTCTCGAGTTCTTTTCGCACGGTATCATAAATTTGACCGAGAACAGAATCTGAGCGTTTACATTCGTCTTTTCTTTTCGATGGATGAAAATGGGGATATTTAGGTAATTGATTGAAGACCGAATGGAAGTCCTCAACCAGCGCGTGCTTAAAAGTCAGCACACCTGACTTAGCTGAGTCAAGCACCGTGGATATAACTCGACAAAGTTTTTCCATGAACTTCCAATTCTCGTCTTTCGTCCATTCGTGTTTTAAATTATCGATTATTCGCATATGAAGATCAAATAAGTCATGAATTGTAGGACAATATGCATTTAAAGCAATACTCATTGCTGTATTCGCCGCATTTCGACGAATCTTTTCCATATCAGCAGAACGGTTTTGGCGTTTTCTCTGTGTGTCTTCATTTAACTTCCTTTTTACGCTGCTTCCTTCATTTAATCTACTTATTTCGTCCTCCATATCGTTGAAAAACTCGTCGTCATACACATGATATCTCATCAATTCCTTCTCGTTGTCAGAACGCTCGGGATCTAGATTTATGCTTTCACCAGACATATTCTCAGTATCGTTTTGTTTACTTTTACTCTGTTTTTCCCTCCGCTCGATTTCTTTTTCAGCCGCAAATTTGACGTCGTATCGGTACATCCTATCGAGTTCCTCTTTAGTAGTTGAAATAAACTCACCGGGGTCAAATAAAGGATCTCTGAGATTTTGCACAATCTTTTCATCCCAACAAACAAAATACTGATCACCATCAAGATCGCTACCACATATTTTGTCTGGTTCCGGTCGCTCACCTAAACAATTGAAAACAATTACATCCTGTAGGTCAGCTAGAAACTTGCCATTTTCCCTCTGCTTGAGTTCTACTTCTGTGACAGTTGTAAATAAACGAAGATCTCCTCGATGAAAGCATGGTTCCTTTGTGACTAAAACTTTTTGCTCAATGATACTTGGTTCACTAGACACGTCACTCCTTAAGTTTGAGATTTTTACGAAAACTTCTCCCTTCTTGAGTACCTGCCAAAAATCTGCAACACCGAACAACCGGCGCGATTTTTCAACGATAATTTTGAAACGACGCGCATAGTTTTGATAGTAGCCAGCAAGAAATGTTTCAAATAGCGAACAACCAGCACCCAACATATTGAACGACTTTATATCGTTGTGTTTCAAGGCAAATTCAATCGCAAATCTTCTATTGGACTCATCTAATAGTTTCTTTATCTCATCATCGGCTAAGCTAACAATGTGCCTCTGCATTGCTTGGAAATCCTTAGCGCAACCGACAATCAAAGAAAGAAGCGCAAAATTAAGACGTGCGCCCAACATAGGCTGTGAACACTGTACGATTTCGATAGTCGTATAACGGGATTTTCCGTTTCTGTCTGGTGAAACAAATTTTTCTTGGCTAGTCGTTGGTTCGATACGTTTCTTTGTACCAAGACTATGATCGACAACAAGCATGCCCTTGATGCCATCAAGTCGAACTTGAAATGCAGAATAATATTCTGGCTGATTCCCTGTCTCATCGTATTCTATTTCACCATCCTGCAATACTGCTGCATTCCATTCTGTAGGACCAATATTCTGAGCGACGAAAGCAACGTTTTTGTACTTTCTTCCTTCTTTCCATCTGGCACTCATTTCTTTCGCTACAGAGATGCTCACACAGCCGCAACCATCAGTATGCTTTCCAATATCCTCCCGTTTCTCTACTTCGACTTCTTTCAAATCCATACTGATAGAAGGAGTAAACCACAAGCCCATTCGCAAACTCAGTTTTAATTCATAATTCTCGTACTTTATCAAAAATTCATCTGAAAACATCTCTTTACACAAAGTGTCATAGTTTACGTCCGAGAAAATATACATGATTTTGTGAACCCCGCTGCTCGTCGTCATTAAATATTCAAAACATCGACCGGCTATTTCCAAATTCCTCACGGTAATAAGGTTCCAAGCAAAAGAATCTTCTTCAGTAAGCGACAAAACGTAGCTCTCCAGAAGGACCTGCTCTTCCAGGGAATCAAAGCCTGAAGTGGACCATTGTGCTGTAGGACGTTTCCAAGGATCTTTGTTCATTCGATCGACATTTTCTTGTTTTAGTTCGCTTTCCACCTCTGCAACTTTTTTTGGAGACCGCGAAGTTGTTTTGCAGAGGTCGCGCATCATATGAACCAAAATAGAAATATTATGAACAACTGAGTTGACTTTCAAATCGACATCTATGTTGTCCTTTTGATCACCAAAGGAAGCAAGGCGCCAAGCCACGTCTATATTTTTTGACGTCAGGACTAAACTAACTCGCAAGAAAGACTCCTCGCGATATAAACGTGTCAGACGCGATGTATCGAACTCCTTATTCGCAGCACGTACGCGCAAACGACAATACTTAGTGCAATGACGATCAATTATAATCGTTGCGAAGAGCCTGTACATTTCAGAATCTGATGATGAATTATCTTCTCCATCGTGCGCCAGATGTTTATGCAGATAATTCAATAAATCTAAGCGCACAGGACAAATCTTGGTTATTCTAGCTAGAAGTTTAAATCGTTCTAAGAATGATCCTTTTTGATAAGCTTCTTGTTCACGCTGATTTAAGAGAGATGTGTAGTAATTAATTGCGTCAGTCTTATCTCGGTCTTGGAGCTCTGATGTGCTAGAAGAGTTGTTAGAGGATTCTTTAGGAAGTTTGTGTACAAAACCTGAGAAAAGAGACCACACAAGTTCTTTAAACGGCATACGGTAGTCTGTGCAAGCTTGATCTGGCTGTTCAATTGAGTCAAGAAAGGTATTCGATTGCTTCAACAAAGGCAAAAAGGTACTGAATTGTTCGAAATCTGACCTTACAAAAGACCAGCTGAAAATATCTGGATCAATATATAAGATAGTGGCTTGATTTGGCTGATGCGATTCAATTGTAGTTCGACTTGATTCATCGGAATCAACGTTGCTGTTACACTTGTCGGAAATCTCCTTCAAGATGTTCAGTATTTTTCCTTCCTGCACCTTGTCGGCTTCTGTGATTGCTTCTCGCTTACACTTGACAATCTTCATATATTGTGACGTGGTGGTAGACTGTTGTGAAGACATGTCGTTGGTTCTTTATGATTGGATTAGTTTCTTAGTTATGTTAATGAATGAGCGAAGTAGTCGTTTCGAAAAAATCGCAGACGATGTCAACAGTATATGAGGATGATGTAATATTCTTCAATACATTGGAAGCACTGTATTGCTGAACGAACAGACGACCGATTGTAACGAAGGACCTTTATTTGCTGAAAAT